AGCTGAACAAAGAAACTATAGAACTCAATAATACAATCAATAACTTAGACTTAACGGACATGTATAGAATATCCCATCCTTTAACGAAAGAACATACTTTCTTCTCAACAGCACATGAGTCCTTCTCTAAAATAGACCATATACTATGCCACAAAGCAACCCTTAGCAAATATAAAAAAGTAGAGATACTACCCTGCATTCTATCAGATCATAATGAAATTAAATTAGAAATCAATGATAAAATAAGAAATAAAATCCATTCCAACACCTGAAGACAAAATAAAATCCATTCCAACACCTGGAGACCAAATAATATGCTACTAAATGAACAATGGGTTGCAGAAGACATCAAGGAGGAGATTAAAAAAATTTTAGAGGTGAATGAGACCGCAGATACAACATATTGAAATCTCTGGGACACTATGAAAACAGTTCTAAGAGAAAAGTTCATTGCATGGAGTTCATTCCTTAAAAGAAGAAAAAGTCAACAAATAAATGACTTAACATTATATCTCAAAGCCCTAGAAAAAGAAGAACAAATCAACACCAAAAGCAGAAGATAGGAAATAATTAAAATCAGAGCTGAAATCAATGAAATTGAAACAACTGACAGAAAAAAAATTTGGTTCTTTGAAAAAATAAATAAAATTGACAGACCTTAGCCATGCTAACGAAGAGAAGAAGAGAGAAAACTCAAATCATTAACATACTTGATGAAAAAGGAAATATCACAACAGACATTATAGAAGTACAGAAGATAATTAGAAATTATTTTGAAAACTTGTACCCCAATAAATAATAAAATATCAAAGGCATCGACAAATTTCTAGAGTCATATAATTTGCCCAAATTGAATCAGGATGATATACACAATTTAAACAGATCAATTCAAAGTGACAAAATAGCAGATATCATCAAGAGTCTACCAACCGAGAAAAGCCCAGGACTGGATGGATACACAGCCGAGTTCTACAAGACCTTTAAAGAAGAACTAATACCAATACTCTTCAATTCATTTCAGGAAATAGAAAAAGAGGCAGCACTTCCAAACTCATTGAATGAGGCCAGTATCACCTTGATTCCAAAACCAGGCAAAGATACATCAAAAAATGAAAACTTCAGACCAATATCTCCAATGAACATGGATGCAAAAAAAAATTCTCAACAAAATTCTGGCAAATTGAATACAAAAACATGATCAAGTGGGATTCATTCCAGGGATGCAAGATTGGTTCAACATACAGAAATCAATAAATGTAATTCATCACATCAACAGACTTAAAGATAAGAATCATATGATCATCTCAATAGGCACAGAAAAAGCATTTGACAAAATACAGCACCCCCTTTATGTTCAAAACGCTAGAAAAATTAGAGATAATAGGAACATACCTCAACATCATAGAGGCTATCTATGCTAAGCCCCAGGTCAACATCATTCTAAATGGAGGAAAAATTGAAGACATTCCCTCTAAAAACTGGAACAAGACAGGGATGCCCTCTTTCACCACTGCTATTTAACACAGTTCTTGAAATACTGGACAGAGCAATTAGACGAAACAAATTAAAGGATACATATAGGAAAAGAAGAACTCAAATTGGCACTATTTGCTGATGATATGATTCTATACCTAGAAGACCCTAAAAGTTCCACCAGAAAACTTCTAGAACCAGTAAATGAATTCAGCAAAGTAGCAGGATATAAAATCAACACCCATAAATCAATGGCATTTCTGTATCAGTGACAAATTCTCAGAAAGGGAAACGAGGAAAACTATCCCATTCTCAATAGCCTAAAAAATAAAATAAAATAAAATAAAATAAAAATAAAATACTTGGAAATCAACTTAACAAAAGAGGTGAAAGATCTATATAATGAAAATTATGGAATCCTAAAGAAAGAAGTCAAAGAAGACCTTAGAAGATAGAAAGATCTACCTTGCTCTTGGATAGGCAGAATTAATATTATCAAAATGACCATACTTCCAAAAGCACTATACAGATTTAATGCAATCCCGATCAAAATTCCAATGACATTCCTCATAGAAAGAGAAAAAGCAATCATGAAACTCATCTGGAAAAATAAGAGTCCCAGAATAGCTAAAGCAATCCTTAGCAGGAAGAGTGAAGCAGGTGGCATCACTACATGAGACCTTAAACTGTACTACAAGAGCAATAACAACAACAACAACAACAACAACAAAAAACCAGCATGGTACTGGCACCAAAACAGACTGGTAGACCAATGGTATAGAATAGAGGACACAGAGACTAACCCACAAAATTACAATTACCTTATATTAGACAAAGGTGTCAAAAACATGCATTGGAGAAAAGATAGCCTCTTCAACAAATGGTGCTGGGAAAACTGGAAATCCATGTGCAACAAAATGAAATTAAATCCCTATCTCTCACCATGCACAAAACTCAACTCAAAAATGGAACAAGGACTTAGGAATAAAACTAGAAACCTTGAGTCTAATAAAAGAAAAAGTAGGCCCTAATCTCCATCATGTGGGATTAGGCCCCAGCTTCCTTAATAAGAAGAACTAATACCAATACTCTTCAATTTATCCTGTGGCACAAGAATTAAAATCAAGAATCAATAAATGGGATGGACTCAAACTAAGTTTCTTCTCAGCAAAAGAAACAATCTGTGAGGTGAATAGAGAGCCTACATCTTGGGAGCAAATCTCTACCCCTCACACATCAGATAGAGCACTAATCTCTAGGGTATATAAAGAACTCAAAGGTAGCAGAATACAACAGTTACTAATATGGCATTATGTAAAAATGTGGATGTGTAACCGATGTGATTCTGCAATCTGTATTTGGGGTAAAAATGGGAGTTCATAACCCACTTGAATCTAATGTATGAAATATTATATGTCAAGAGCTTTGTAATGTTTTGAACAACCAATAAAAAAAATTAAAAAAAAAAACACAAAAAGCTAAGCACCGGGGCTGGGGCTGGGGCTCAGCGGTGGAGCACTCGCCTAGCATGTGAGGTGAGCTGGGTTCAATCCTCAGCACCACACAAAAATAAATATTGTGTCCAACTACAACAACAACAAAAAGCTAAGCACCATAAAAACAAATAACCCAATCAATAAGTGGGCCAAGGATCTGAAGAGACACTTCTCAGAAAATGATATACAATCAATCAATATATGAAAAAATGTTCATCATCTCTAGCAATTAGAGAAATGCAAATCAAAACCACTCTAAGGTTTCATCTCACTCAGGTCAGAATGGCAGCTATTATGAAGACAACAATAAATGTTGGTGAGGATGTGGGGGAAAAAGTACATTCATACACTGCTGGTGGGACTGCGAATTGGTGCAGCCAATATGGAAAGCAGTATGGAGATTTCTTGGAAAATTGGGAATGAAACCACCATTTGACCCAACTATCTGTCTCCTCAGTCTATACTCAAAGGACTTAGAAACAGCATACTACCGGGACACAGCCACATCAATGTTTATAGCAGCACAATTCATAATAACTAAACTGTGAAATCAACCTAGATACCCTTCAATAGATGAATGTATGAAAAAGATGGAATATTACTCAGCAATAAAAGAGAATAAAATCATGGCATTTGCAGGTAAATTGATGGCACTGGAGGAGATAATGCTAAGTGCAGTTAGCCAATCCCAAAAAACAAATGCTGAATATTTTTTTGATATAAGGAGGCTGATTCATAGTGGGATAGGGAGAGGGAGCTTGGGAGGAATAGACAAACTCTAGATAGGGCAGAGGGGTTGGAGGGGAAGGAAGGTGACATGGGGTTATAAATGATGGTGGAATGTGATGATCATTATTATCCAAAGTACAGGTATGAAGACACAAATTGGTGTGAATATGCTTTGTATACAATCAGAGATATGAAAAATTGTGCTCTATATGTGTAATAAGAATTGTAAGGCATTCCACTTTTTTGTATTTTGTATTTCTTATTTTGTATAAATAACAACAACAAAAAAAAAAGAATGCTGAAAAAAATAATTTACAGCTGAGATAAAACATCTCCAGAGAAGGCAGAGTTACCCAGCCCAGCAGGTGGACAGGGGAAAAGCTGAGCTAGGACGTTTACTTCTCTCTGCCCAGGCCAGAGCTTTCTCTATTTCCCTTGGTGACTGGCCATACAAGATGTCAAATAGTTCTGGACTATAGTGATAATGGCTTGCTGCAGAGTCAATTGGCAAGGAATATAGGCAGCACTTCAGCTACTAGATCAAGGTCAGAGAGGAAACTACAAATATAAACATGCTAGGGTGAAAGCCACCTGGTCTTACTATCAGAAATGTGGGTTCTTGCCACCAAGAAAGCAAGCACATGCAGAAATAACTAGGTACCCCCCGCAAACAACCTTTTGATATGATGCTATTTGTCATGTCAATTTTTAACTCTTTATATTTGGCTTAAATCTTTTTTATCAAAAGTCAAGATTTTAAATATCCTAACTATGTTATATAATTAAATAAATATCCTATAACTATGGTATATAGTACATTATACTAAAGTCATGATTTGTCTTTCCCCTATTAAATAAAATGGGTAGTTTACTTCTTCACTTTGCATCTATCAGCAGCAAAAAAATTTTCTTTAATTTTAAAGAAGCACTTTTTTAGATTTATGCCTGCAACCCAAAGTTCTCTCATGATATTAATATTGTTGCATGCATTATAAATGAAGCACATTTCTCTAATATTAGAAAACAATTCTGAAATTTTTTAACTTAAAAAAAATCTGGAAAATTATTATAATTTTGTCACAGTAACATGCAGTTGATAACTATGCTTAATTAAACATTGAGTTTCATCTTAACCCTTAATGGTTCTCATTCACATTTTTTAAAACTTTTTTAAACAAAGCAAAGTCACACAAAACAAGAGAGATTAGTCTAAGAAATAATGAGGTTCTAATGTCTTGCTTACTTTCCATTGATTTGTTACAAATGCCAGTGGGATTATTTAGGCTTGAATCGTGCGCTTACCTGCACAATGCCTCTGCATCCAGCTGACGGGGATTTCTGTGGTCTATGATGATGATGTCATGATGTTTGTCCAGGAAACAGTCAAGGACTGCTTGTGCCTCCTTGGTTACTGTACACTTAAACCCTGCTTTTTCACATGCCCTGCAGAATCCCTTACACTGGTTATCTTCTTTGGTAAACACTAAAAGTACCTGAATCAAAAAGAGCACATACACATTTTTTTTCAGAGATGTTTTTAGAATTGTTATTTATTAACTATGATTTCCCAACTCTTTTCAGGCAAGGTCACACAAGAACATAATCATCAAATTCAAATCCTTCTTCTATCCATAACTCACAGCATTCTCATTCAGTTCCCCGAATCAGTGTTATTATCTATCTACTCTTAGTCTAGAAGTTCAAGTGCATGGCTCATATACTTATTTCTTTTGCTAATAAACCCACTGGCAGAACTCAACAAAGACTTAATAGAGCATTTTATATTGAAATTGAACCAATTAAAATACACAATATTTATTTAGTAAACAGAAACTTGATGGAGTATGCCTCTGATGACAAATGCTAATATTTCAGTGAAACTATAGAAACACTTAATTATTTCAATATTGTATTTAAAAGTTTTGACACCGAATTTTATATAGTTCCTTCAAGGTTAAAAAAAATCACTCTGATTGTAAAAGTAACAATAGGTAGACTGAAATAATACATTTCAAAGCCTACCACTTAAGTGACAAAGGAACAATACCAGGTGTGGTAGGCTACATCTGTGTGGATGATAGGACAAGAGCTGGCTATGCTAGCTCCAGCCCCAAATCTGGGAGGCCTGGATCTACTATCTCTTCCCTCTCCATCCAGGGCCCAACCAGAGCTGGCTCCTGAACCAGAACATGGCTCCATCTCTTCAGAGCCAGACTCATTAATGTGGTAACAGTAATGGGTCAGGTGGAGATGGAGCAGCCATTATAAATGTTCATCTCCCTAAAGATCTCCCTAGAGGGGATGCCTGACTGCTACGGACTGTTTCTTCAAAGACTTCAAAGCTAACAGAAACACTCTTCCCCATGGTTTACTTCCTTCAAGTATACCCACAGCACAAATACCACGAATGCAAGGAACTAAGAGCATATACTTCCACCAGCCCTTTCCATATTTCTAAAAACGTAACAGTGAACATGTGTTTGCATGTGTGCAAGGAGCCCCAAATAATCTGGTTAAATTTTAATGGAATACTTTGTTTCCTGCTTATGATTAAACAAATGATAGATATTGCTAAACCAACTTAATGTGGACTGCAGACACATCTGTATCCTTAAATATCTCAATGTGCATTTCTAAGGATGGTCTCTTATATAAGTATAGTATTGTTGTCAAGGCCAGGAAATTTAATATTGATCCAATATTGCTATCTAACAGAGAAAACTTTATATTTTATACTGTTCTTGTTTTGTTTTATTTTTGTTTTGTACTAGGGATTGAATCCAGGGACACTTAACCACTTCCCCAGTCCTTTTTATATTTTTAAAATTTTGACACAGAATCTCACTAAGTTGCTTAGGGCCTTGCTAAATTGCTAAAACTGGCTTTGAACACATGATGTGCCTGCCTCAGCCTCCCAAATTGATGAGATTACAGATGTATACCACCACACCTGGCTATATTTTAAATATGTAACTTTATTTTTTAATGAAAGTCAACATGTGAAAATCACAGCATGGTTCATTAGTACCTGAAGTTGATCTTGATGAAATCTCATGGGGCCAAATTGTACATCAGCCACTGCTCCCTGTAAGAAAGAGATTTGCTGTTTAACAAGGGAGAATCTTGCTTAAATTTTCTGTTTAATCAGTGCTACAGATGAAAGTAAAATGTCTACTCTAGAAAACAATTACATAAAGTAGATAGACAAATGTTCATCTCCCTATAGATGAATTAAGAAAATTCCTAAGGATTTCCTTATAGCCCCCAGGAAAAACTGGAGCAGGAAAGGAGAAATAAAATTAATCTGATCTTGGTGCTACCTTTTACAATGTGCAACTTTAGGTGAATTACTCAACCATTCTCAGTCTTGATTTCTTGTTTGTAAAGATCAAATGACATTACAATATAAAGAGCCCCCCCACCCAAATAGTAGACACCAAATAAACCTGGTTCCCTCGATGCCTATTTCTGCCTTTCTTCTGATAGCAATGAAATCTTATATCCAAAAGGGCATATGAATAATGCAATCCAGCAGTCAAAACCACAGAATATCAAAGAAACCTCTGAGAAATAGTTGATGCTTTGTTTTACAGAGATGGGTAATAGCACTTGACAATAAGTGCTTATCCATATAAGAATTTATCATTAAAACATACCATGACATACCCAACCCCAGTGAGCAGCCATAAACCAAATCAGGGATTGCCTGTTCTAGTCACTGTGCTTAGGACTGAACATGTTATTTCACTAAATTATCTCAGCAACATGGTGATCCGAGGTTCCAAGTATTTTGCTTAGGACCATACAGCTAGAAAGTGGTATTGCTGGGATTCTAATCCAGGTCTATTTAGTTCCATACCCTGTGCTGCAAAGTTAGGGCTACCGGAAGGTTTGGGCAACTTGTTCTCTGCATAAAGGAGCCCAAGAGAGGGAAAAGGAAACCCAGTACCAGGTGATGAACTCTGGCACTGAGATTCTGACATAGGAGCAGTCACACTTTGCAATCTACATGTATTGAAGGGAACCTTATCCTAGTCCTCTGGTGATGGTAGGTTTCATACCCAGAGTAGCAACCAAAGAACTGGATCTATAAGAAACTTCCTACAAAACATTTCCTACTTGACTACCAACTCCTATCTCCCCCTGCAAACAGTAAGCTATAGTAAGCACATGTAACAAAACTCTGGGTGATAAAGGTAACCATGAGAAGCTGATGTTTACTAATCTCCTAATTATGGGCCCCTGGCTAATTTCTGATTTTTCCTTGTAATAATTTTGTCTTTCAAAAGGCATAAAAAAGGGGCTAGAGTTGTAGCTCAGTGGTAGAGTGCCTGCCTCACACATCTGAGGCACTGAGTTTGATCCTCAGCATCACATAAAAATAAATAAATAAATAAAAATATTGTGTTCATCCACAACTAAAAAAATGTTTTTTAAAAAAGGCATAAAAGGGGCTGGGAATGTGGCTCAAGCGGTAGCGCGCTCGCCTGGCATGCTTGCGGCCCGGGTTCGATCCTCAGCACCACATACCAACAAAGATGTTGTGTCCGCCAATAACTAAAATAAATAAATAAATATTWAAAAAAAAAAAGGCATAAAAATGGGGCTGCGGTTGTGGCTCAGTGGTAGAGTGCTCACCTAGTATGCATAAGGCACTGGGTTCAATCCTCAGCACCACATAAATATAAAATAAAGATATTGTGTCAATCTAAAACAAAAAAAAAAGGCATAAAAAGAATGAGGGTCTCTGCTGTTTCAGATCTAAGACTAGGAGAAGATTCTTTGGAAAGGAGGCAGAGTAAAGAAAACAGACAGCTAGAGGCACTGCACATCCTCTTGGGCTATGGAACTACTAGCCAGGCTCACAAAATAGAATTTCTGAAAGAGGGATGGTCTAAGAGCCTGGAGGAGTCTAAAAAGAATTAGATAGAAGATGGAGGAATCTTCAATCTCTGTCCTGGTAGAATGTGTCTGTTTGGGAAACTCTTGGACTTGCAAATTCCATAAGAAGCTTAGATAGTAAATTGAGATTAATTTCAGGCAATGTTAGCTCTTAGTCCATTGCAGCGGCCCAGCCCAACCTACAGGAGGCAGCTGTATATGTGTTTCCAAAACAACCTGAACATATATAGCAAAAAGGACTCCATTCTGCAAATTTCAGAGATCTGGGCTCTGCTCACTGAATGCTGCTTCTGATCAGATACAGTGGCCAAGAAGTGGACAGTAACAAAAACAATGTTGAGGGGTTAACATACAGCTATAAGCATTTACAGTGAAAATCAAACAAGAAGGCTGGGGGTATGCCTAGCATGCTCAAATCCCTGGGCTCAATCCACAGTACCAAAAAATAATAAAATTAAAAATTAAAAACAATCAGTCAAGATCACAAATTATCAAATTAACTTTATAATTTAAGGAAATAGAAAAAGAACAAACTAAACCCAAATCTAGCAGGAGGATGGAAATAATAAATATTTACAGCAGAGATAAATGCAAAAGAGAATATACAAATAACAGAAAAATCAATGGAACCAAAAGTTCTTAGGAAAAAAACAATAAGTTAAAAAAACTTTTAACTAGGTGGAAATAAAGAGATTAGACTCGAATTTCTAAAAATCACAAATGAAAGTGGGGACACTGCTACCAATTCCATAGGAATAATATTTATAGGGGTCCTATGAACAACTGCATACCAACAAGTTGGATAACATGGATGAAATGGACAAATTACTAGAAATACAAAACTTGTCAAGATTAAATCACAAAAAAATAGAGAATCCGGATAGATCTAAAACTAGCAAAAAGAGTCAATCAGTAATATTAATAATAATAATAAACCCCATGACAGAAGAGCCCTGGATCTGATGGCTTCATGGGCAAGTTCTATTAAATATTTAATTCCAATCCTTCTCAAATTTTTTTCCAACAATTGAAGAGAAGGAAACACCTCCCTACTTATTTTATAAGTCCAGTGTTACTCTGATAACAAAGACACTAAGAAAACTATAGATCAATATCCTTTAAGAAAATGGATGCAAAAACTTTCAACAAATGCTAGCAAACTGAATTCAGCAGCACACTAAAAACATAACATATGACCAAATGATGATGGTCATGGTGTATAATGCAAGAATATTCAACAACCAAGGCCCAAGATAGGGAGGAGAGGCCCGTCCGCCACATGCAGCCCAGAGACTGGGAGGAGAGGCCTGTCCCGGGCCCAGAGACACATGGTGAGCCACCCCGCACTGGGGTTCCTTATTCACCAAAGCATGGCTCCACAGCCCAACAGCAGGGTACATATAGGCTTGAGGCTGCCACCACTACAAAACTGGGATATCACCACTTGTATCAAGGGACAACAATAAGGACCTGGTAAGACATCATCAAGGTTCCTGTGGCCTGGCTGCAACACGGGTATCCCTACTAGGGGTGCTAACAGTTATCCTATTGCTGAGGTAACAGGGAGTCTTGCATGGGGTTGCCTATCTCTTGTTTCTCCTACTAACAGACAACTTCTTATGATTACCCTCTCACTAGTCATATAATCTAATACCTCCATATTCTAACATCCTACCTCATACACATCTCAGCCAACCCCCTAGGCTGCCTCCTACTATTAGAAACTGTAAACAATTATGCAAACCTATTGACTATAAGGTAGAAGATAACTGAACTCATCATTTTTTATTTTAGTGACAAAACTGTAAATGTAAAAATAGAAGCTAACCAATATATGGCTGCACATTGGGTACAATGAGTGCTGGAATACTGATTCTCTCCCTTAAAAGGTATTGGTAATCTATAGTGACACTATAAGACAATAGGGCAGAAGCTGTCATACCTCAGATCTACACTGCACAAGAGAAAGACTCTTAGACATCATGAAAAAACAAGGGAGGAAAGTGCCCCAAACAAACCAAAATACTACAACAATAGTATTGGCCAGGCTCACAAGATAGAATTTCTGAAAGAGAAGATGGTCTAAGAGCCCTGGAGGAGTTTAAAAAGAACGAGGTAGAAGATGGAGGAATCTCCAATCTCTGTCCTAGTAGAATGGTCTAATTCAACTGTTAGATGGTCTAATTCAACTGTTTGGGGAACTCTGGGGTCTATTAAAGATTTGCAACTTCCAGAAGAAGCTTAGATAGTAAATTGAGATTAATTTCAGGCATATTCATAGATAGCAAAGCAGGTGAACTGTCAGAGAAGGAGTTCAGAGTATATATAATTAAAATGATTTGGGAATTAAAGAACAACCTAAGTGAGCAGATACAGGCAAAAATCGATCACTCCAACAAAGAGATAAGAGAGCAAGAGAGCAAATACGAGTTTCTAGAGACTTCAAGAAAGAGATAGAGATGCTGGGGGAAAAAAAACAAATAGAAATCCCTGAAATAAAAAAAAAATAAACCAATTAAAAAACTCAATAAATAGCATCCCCAACAGACTAGATCACTTGGAAGTCAGAACTTCAGACAATAAAGACAAAAATATACAATCTTGAAAATAAAGTTGACCACACAGTGAAGATAGTACGAAACCATAAAGAGAATATCCAAAAATTATAGAATACCATCAAAAGACCAAATTTAAAATTTTTTGGGATAGAGGAAGGTTCAGAGATTCAAACCAAAGGAATGCACAATCTTTTCAATGAAATAATAGCAGAAAATTTCTCAAGCATGAAGAATGAACTGGAAAATCAAATACAAGAGGCCTATAGGACACCAAATGTACAAAATTACAACAGAGTTACATCAAGACACATTATAATGAAAATGCCCCGCATAGAGAATAAGGATAGAATTTTAAAGGCCGCAAGAGAAAATGATCAGATTACCTATAATGGAAGACCAATTCAGATCTCAGTAAATTTTCCAACCCAAACTCTCAAAGCCAGGAAATCCAGGAACAACATATACCAAGCTCTAAAAGATAATGGATGCCAACCAAGAATCTTATATCCAGCAAAATTAAGCTTCACATTTGATGATGAACTAAAAAACCTTCCATGATAAACAAAAGCTAAAAGAATTTACAGCAAGAAAGCCTGCACTATAGAATATTCTTGGCAAAATATTC